ATAGATAGATAGATAGATAGATAGATAGATAGATAGATAGATAGATATTGATGGCACAGAGGGAGATTTGCAGGCTGGAAGTACAGGTATGGTGAAGTCACCTTTAGCCCACAATGGGTATGGTTTGAGTTCATGGTTTAGGAGGTTTTGATAAACTTACACAGTAAAACCAGTTTCTTTGTCCCGTTTCCTTGAGGGCCCCTTTTGGCTGATGTTGGTGTCTGAGCAGCCAGGGCAGACTGGAGATGTCACAGCCACTGTCCCATGGCCCTGAGGTTCTGAAGGGGATGGATTGTGCATCCAGGTCCACTTAGGATAAAATCTCCTGTTTTCTGTGCCCTCATTTCCCCACCAGCTGTGGCTGTAGCTGGAAGGCAATGGCTCTGTGCTGTGAACACAAGAAAGACGAGACACAAAAAAAACAAGGCTCTTGCTCCCAGCTTCTGCAGCTGAGCCATTCCCCCAGCCACATACCTGTGCATGTGCAAGTAAAACAGATCTGTGCACACCAGCACATTCACTCAAGTGTAGGATATGACATAATTATAGCCAATTAAATAATTTTCCCTAAGATGCTTTTTAGAAATCAAGTTGTTACCTATTCATCAGGCTGTCAGTAAACACATCTCTCTCACATACAACATGTTTAACTTTGGCTCATGTTACATTACTCATACACAATCCTTGTGGCAATTAATGACACCTCTATCAGTTCCCAGCTTTTCCAAACCCCTGCAAACAAACAAAATTATTAATAATTGAGGGGACTATCCTTTATCCATTTGAGACTAGTTAGGTTTGGCTTGTTTGTTTGTTTTTTCTTACTATTTCTGTATTCAACACAACTTCTAGAGGCGGGCATGGAGTCACTGACCCCAGTCCTGGGAATGCTCAGTCCTGCCAGCACCTGGAGGAAGGGGATAGAGCACATCCAAGAATTGAGGAGTTCAGCTTGAGGAGGCTCAAGGTTTGCTTTGCTAGGTGTGCATTCAAAACTAAGTACTGTCACTTCACAGATGCAGATACATATACATGCTCATTTTGGTTCAGAAACACACTTGTTTTTGCCTATATATGTGTATATACATATATACTCACGTGTTCTGTGAGTGCATACAGGCCAGCCCTGGGCCTGCAGCCCAGCTGATTACAGTTCTCTGGGTTATGTTAGTTCTGGCTCAGTTTTCTGAAGTTATGTCTACATTTTCCCCTTGCATCAGGCAGTTCTTCCAGAGGCAGTGAGTGTTGCAGTCATAGAAGAAGGATGATGTATTGCCTGGGTCCGGAAATGTCAAGTGGACTGGTGGGAAGTGCATTTTGTGATGTTCATGGCAATGGCTTCACTAAAGCCCAGCCTGCAAAGCTGAAGGGCTTTCTCAGCCCCTCTACAACCTGGGCTTTTCCTGAACATCTACCAGCTAGACCTGCTTTAATCCATCACAAACAGCTTCTGTCCTTATCCCAAATAAGCCATGGAGCTTAAACAATGTTATTTAACCTCCCGTGCCCTCTCCCCATATTTCTGCTGGTGCCAAACACCCATAAACTCATTCCAAAAAGCCACACGTTACCCAAGCAGTGCTGCCTGAGGAAAGCATTCAGGAGTGTTTATGGGGCAGCTGAAGTGTAATGATTTAGTAGATGTTTATAAATGTTTATACTGTACAGATTAACATTCCCCAGGGGGCCTGTAATGAACAGAGTGCTCCAACTGGAATCCAACCAGCCAGCCTGGGCTGAATGAGCATGAATGAATCCTGCTGGCCTGCCCTCCCGAGCTGTTTACTCGCTCCGAGCGGGTTTCCTCCATCCCTGCTCCTCTGGCATCTTCTTTTGGGAGAGCCAGTAGAGGAGTCTGGTCTCAGAAGGAGCACAGTTTGGAAACAAGTTAGAAAATCCAGCCCATCACTTGGGTCGTTGCAATCAAACTGCACCAGACAAAAGAACAAAGAGCCCAACCCTTGTGCTGGGGAAGTGGAGGCTGGAACACCCGGTGACTTCAAAGGGAGCTGGGGCTCACTCTCAGAGCTTTCAAACATCACATCCAAGTGTAAACACTGCAATCATATTGAAGCAACTGAGTCCTGCTATGGGAGCAGGAGCAGGGCCTTGGTACTTGCAGAGTTTTGTGTTAGGTCACTGTGTTTACAAACCATGACTTCAGGCAGTGTGACATTGTACTGGAGGTTCCCAGAAAGGGCTGATGAAAGAAACACTGACCTACTGTGGGGAACAGCTCCAGCAAACACCCTGCAGGGGATGGACATGAACAGCTCCAGCAAACACCCTGCAGGGGATGGACATGAACAGCTCCAGCAAACACCCTGCAGGGGATGGACATGAACAGCTCCACCAAACACCCACCTGGAGCAGAGGGACATGAACAGCTCCACCAAACACCCACCTGGAGGGGAGGGACATCTCTTATCCGAGTAAGTGAATGAACAACTTCAAAGAATAAAAATATCTGCACCTGGTGTTGGGATTCATGCAATGGGTTTCAAACCTCCACAGGTTTAACAACATAAACACCAAACCCAAAAATTAAGGCTGGGAACTGGTGGGTGAAGCTGGGTCTGCCTTGATGCCTCAAGAAGCAATGAGCAAGCAGGTTTTAAAAGAAGCTAACAGAAGTGATGACCCTGAGAAGCATGAGAGAAAGATGGTTTCTTTTGGGCACAATGCCAGGTGGAAAAAATCAGCCTCTGAAATCACAGTAGAGAAACAAACCCCTCTGGAATTCTGCTGTGGTCAGGAGAGTAAGAGTTTTTATACATGACACATGTATATATTCTGAGAATGAATCATCTCAAGGGGCTAGGGAAGGGTGGGAAGAAAAGAGAAAGGATCATGGCATATCCATAGTCAGCATGGGCCAAAAAACACCAAAGAGAGCAAACTGTATCTTCAAGAGGGGAATACCACTGCCAGTGGATTTCTGCTGACAATCTTCTTTAAACTGTGCTTTTTTTTGCTGCTGTGATAAGATTTCTCACTTCTCCAAAAATTATTCTACCTCTGGCTCTGACAGTGACATGCCTGCACAGGACAAACAGCAGCACCACGAATTACAGGTGTTCTCAAAATAAAACACACACTATTCCTTGCAAACTCTTAAACCACAGCACTGGGGGCTGAAAATGCCTGCTGGGATTCTGCAGCCTCCCCAAGGGATCAGACACATGGGGAGGGCTCAAGACATAAAATTTCTTTCAATGGGTTTCTGAGATGTTTTTAAAGGCTGAAAATAAGTTTGCTTTACATCTTGGCTGGAGACACTGGACAAAGGTAATTTTGTCTGCAGTGGTTTATTTGCCCATCTCACAGAGCTGTCTCAGCTCGTTACAGTGTTTGGCAAACACTCCTGGTGCAAGTTCTGCTCTGTAACCCCACTTGGGTCTTTAGAGCAATGCAAAAGACAGATACTTGAAATCTTCTGGAGCGCTGTAACCATCAGGTAATTAGCTGGAGCAGACTCACAGAGTAGGAAAGGCTCACGAGAGCTCTGAAATGAAAGCACAAAATGCCTCCTGGAACTAATTTTAGAGTGGCTTGAAGTATTTAATCCTGCAAATTATTGCCAGTGAGGAAACCTCAAGGTACTGCTGGATCTTAATAGTGGCAAAGCAGCAGGAGGGGCTCACCCTGAGCTGCCTCCTGCTGCTGGCACAGCAATCAGACACAGGGGCAGGGGCATGGTTTGTTCCCAGTGACTTCCACAGTGGCCTGGAATTGTTCCTCTCTTGTGTTTGGAAAGGATCCTTTGTCAGCAAAGCCAATTCAGCCCTACCTTGCAAAGAGCAGAGAAAAGGAAGAGGAGAACAAATCCTGGGGGTACAGACACCCCTGTATCCCCCTAGACCCTCTGCCATGGGTGCTCCCCACCCTTCAGAGGGCAGGAAGGGTTCAGAGGGGGCACAAGGAGGCAGAGTGCTTCACTCTTCCTAAGACCTGTCTGATTTGGAAAGATGCCTTTCTGATTCCTTGCTCTGCTCATGAGTGCTCCTTAATGAGGCTGAGGAGATTGGATTTATTCTTTCATCCCTCCAGGAGTCCCTCTCTCCTGTGTGAAGTGCAGAAAGGAAATGTCAATCTTGTGAGGACTGTTTTTAGGAATAAGAAATGGCAGATATGGGACTAGAAACCAACTTCTTAGGTTCTTAAGACCTATTTACCCTCAAAAAGATCTTTAGGTCTGCAAACTCCTTTACTTGCATCAGACACCTTGTGAGGGAATTGGGAACTCCATGTTCCTTTCCACTGAGAAGATACTCCAGAATCCTGTTGCTGTGCTGGTTAAAAAAAATTTCCTTTATTTTCCAGACAGAATTTATTCATAGCCAATTAATACCCCTTTGTTCTTGTGCCAAAATATTCTTTTATCTTTAATAAGTAGTCTGTCTAGCTCTGTGCAAGCTCTGCACTTGATTGCTGCAGAACCAAGGAGTTCCCTCTTCCACAAGCCATAGGAAGAAATGTTAATAACAGAACATGCTGTAATATCCCATGCAAATTTTGCAGGAGCCCATCCAGGTGTGTGCAAGAATCCATGTACTAATTTCAAAACTATTTCTACTATCAGCTTTCCCAGCTGGAAAGATTTGTTCATCACTTAAAAACAAAGGAGAGGCAGCAACCTACATTTTAACATTTACCTAAAAATTGTTTCCAAATAGGAGAGTTGCAGTGTCTTCTTTCCAAAACTCACCAGGCACCAAGAAACATCTCTTCAGCAGAGCCAAGATTTAAGATCCTGCACATTTCATTGAACAACATCCATTTTGGAATTCAGATTTTGTCTCTTTCTAGGCACAGGTATCCTTTTGCACATGCACGACTTATATCTGCAAGACCAAGTGATCAAATATCAGAACCAAGGTTAGACATAAACCCTTATTCATCTGCATTATGAATCATTCCTTAAATATTGGATTATGTCTTGTTTTCCACCAGATTCTACCTCAGGATGGACAGTGTTCACTTAATAAGCAGATATTCAATATTTTGTTACAGTGTCATTTTTCAGCATGTGGCTTGAGGCCTTATTTACCACAAACTATTCCAAACCTGCTTGGAAGACACAATTGCTGATTTTCTTGTGAGCTTTTCTCGGCCATTATCAGGATGGCATCTGAGTGCTTCACAAGGCTCATTGCTCCTAACAGCACCCTGGAAAACGAGAGGATATTGTTATTCTTGTTTGACAGATGGGAAACTGAAACACAAAGAGATTCAGGTCAAAACATTTTGCTTTTGTTGGGCACCCAAACTGAGATGTCTGGGAATTGATTTCTCAGAGTTTTTAACTCTGTGCAGCATCACATGGCAGGAGGAACAGCACTGACAGTGCACTCTGCACACGGGAACACAGAAAAAATCAAATTAATAACCAGTTGGGAAGAATTGACTTCTCTGAGACTTGGTGAGAGCTTTGCAGAATTGAGATGCCTCAGCCATGAGATCCCCCATTTTCCTTTCAGTTCTCTCCCTTTTACTTCACTTTCCCTGTTTCCACAGCAAATACAGGCAAAGTCCACCAGAAACCAGACTCCTCCTCTACCCAGCTTTGACTCATCTCCTGAGCTGCTCCACCTTCTGAAGGGAATGAGCCCAGGGTCCTCTGCTAAATATAGCACATGGGCCTGTAATTAAAGACTAGACCAAACACAGGTACAAAAGGAAGCCAAATAAACACTTTGCAGGAAACCTTAATTTCATGAATTCCCGACACCCTTTTCTAAATAATAAGCTTTTCAAGGAGAACACTGTCTCCATTATACATATGTATATATAAAAATGTAAATTTTTATACAAATGTAATTTTTAATTAAAATAAAAATTCTTATATATATTTATGATATATACAATATATAGGATAGGAATGTTATATAAATGTAATTATATAAATTTATGTATATTTATATTCTTGTTCCTGAGTAATAATCAGCTGAAATTTTCCAAAACCTGGGAAAAGGTACCTGGCATAGTATACTAAGCCCAAATGATTAAAGTTTTCAAGTTAAAATTAGAGGTGATCAAAATCTGCCCAATAGGTTTCAGTTCAGCATTTTGACTGCATCTTTCTGTTTCAGAAAATCGGGATGTACGTGCCTGGGTAAGTCAAAACCATTTGTATTTTATAATGTTCACTGCTGAAGGAATATGTAGGAGCAGGACTCCAAATTTCCAGTATTCAGGAAATTCAGTTATTTCATGATTTCATTTCATTCTGAATCGAGAGAACACCTATGCCTCCCTTGCCTCAAACTTTGAAATTCCCCTTAAAATTTTATTTGTGTTGGGTTTACATTGTTCTAAATAAATCAACCAGAGCTGATACCAGCATGGGAAATTTCAGTGTGAATGTTTGGAGCTTGACAAGAGTTACAAGGAAATAAAGAAGCCTGGAAAGTTTCAAGCAACCCTAGTTACAGGTACATCACCAGCTATTTTTAAAATACCACTGCAGTAGCACCTAAATTTTGTTAGAAAACACTTATTAAATGTGCTCTGTGTTATTTTCAGTGCAGTGATACTCAGGAATGTATCCTCATTTTCCAGGTGCTTCTCTGCCTCTCCCACTTGGTCATAACAGAGTGAGGAGTGCAGCTCTGCCCTTCCTCAGCCACAGGACTGCCTCATTTCATACAGCCAAGACAAAAGACCCCAATCTGAACTTTTTTAACCCAAAGGACCCCCCAGTAACCTGTGGAAGAAGGAGCAGCAACTCTGAGCTTCCCAGCTGGGGCAGAGCAGCCCCCACAGGTAACACACTTGGGAGAACAGAGAGGGGACTCCTAAGAGAGGAAACCAGGGTTCAGGCTAATTCCATGCCCTGGAAAAGCTGGACAACCTGGCCTTTTCAATGACTAATATTTTGTTCTGTTTTCTTATCAAGGGGACAAGAAACTTCACTCCAGTGCCTTTGAAGGACATGCTGGGGCTTGTGTGAATGTTGGGCTTCTCTTGGTTCATAAAGGATCAGTCAGGGCTTCATGAGAACTGTCCAGGTAAAAACCCCCTGTGTGAGGATGTTCTCTTTTGAAGGGAGGTGAGAAATCAGCTCCAGCCCTGAGCTGAGAGTGGCTCCTTCCCAGAGCTGGGCAGTGGGGAGGGCTCAGCCAGCACAGGAGGAATTCCCCTGGAATCAGGAGATCCTGACTCACAGGGCTGCTCTCCCTGGGATGGAGGGGCTGGACTGAGTCTGGGCTGGGTCAGAGCAGGGCTCTGGCAGAGTTCCCTGGTACACAGTCAGTGTTCCAGGGAAATAAAGGAAATACGAGGACAAAACTGTTCCACAGTCAGTGACAGAGGCTCAATCCCCTGGGGCAGGAGCTGCCCAGGTGACAGGGGATAGGAGACCCTTCCCAGTTGGCATTTCCTTTCTCCCTTCATTTTCCTTAATCCTCTGCTCCTCTGCAATAATCACAGTAACTCACTCAGCTCCTGAGCATGATGCTCATGACACTGTTATAGCAGTTGTCCCCTAACCCGGGGTTTAGCCCTGATTTCAGCAGTGTGAGATGAGGCTGCACACAGAGCAGAGCTGACACGGGCCTGGAGTCCCTCAGCACTTTTCCTCAATAAATTAACCCCAGAGCTGCTGCCACAGCAGCCTGAGCAGTTTGCAACATTTGTATTTCTGCTTTGGCTTTTTATTGGTGTTTTTCACAAGCTCTTTTAATGCCTCCAGGAGTAATTTATGGGGACAGAATAGCATGAAAAGAGCAGATTCCACTCATTTAAATCTCTGGATGATGAAAATCACATGAGAAGAGCAGGTTTTGCATTGTCTCCTCTTCATAAATGGCTTTCTGAGGCAGTAAAAGCCATGTAAAAGCAAACATAAACACTGTATAAACACCGAGATATTCAGGTTTGTTTGGACTTACCCAAACACTGCCCAGAAATTTTCAGGTTCATTCAGGTTTGGGCTCTGTTTTGTTAACTCATTCCTTAAAATGTTGCAGGTTTTAGTTTTTGTTAACATAACCAACCAGATACATGGACTAAAATTTCTTTTAACTGATATTACTACACAAAAGGATTACTTTAATAGAAACAGTTCTTAGTATTATTCTTATTTCAGATTGTGATGAGTAATGTGTGTGACTATGGTGATTCTTTTTTCCTTTTTTTTCTTTATTTGGCAGCCCTCACTGCTCCTGCTCCAGCACATGATCTGGACACCCAGGATGGTCCAAGTTTCCAGCAACTGACATGCTGGTTATTTATTTTATAAAATAAGCAAATTAGTGAAGCATGACTTACAAACTCTTTGATCCAGTGACCACTCATCTGTGTACTCACATAAAGAACTGTAACCTTTTAGTGCTAATAGTAACAGCTCAGAGTAAGAGATGTGGGCAGGTCACTAAGTTTCCTTCCTAGGGCTGGGGGGTAGTTTTGGAGGTATCTGCCACACACAGAAGCTTCACATTTTTCAAGTTAAATGAAATTTCTAAAATAAGTAGCATTTGCCTTCTAAAGGCAAATGAAAGAGTTTTCTTTGCCCTGTCTTTTTTCATTAATTAATACTCTTAACTCCCTAATTTCCAGAAAAAGTCACAGAATCACAGAAGGGGTTGGGTTGAAAGGGACCTTAAAGTTCATCTTGTTCCACCCCCTGCCATGGGCAGGGACACCTTCCACTAGCCCAGGTTGCTCCAACCTGGCCTTGGACACTTCCAGGGATGGGGCAGCCACAGCTTCTCTGGGCAACCTGTGCCAGGGCCTCCCCACCCTCACAGGGGAGAATTTCTTCCCAATATCTCAATCTAAATCTATTCTCTTTCAGTTTAAAGCCATTCCCTCTTGTCATAGGATACAATGTTTTCTACTTCAGCTCTCCTATATTTCATGTTTTGCCTCATGAGACCAAATTTATTACAGTAAGGGATGTAATTCAATAGTATACTTTAAACAACCATGAATGTACCTGCTTGGCTCCTCATTTTTCACCAAGTCATTCGAGGAAATATTTACAAGCCAGAAGACTGCCCCAGAATTTGTGTGAATAATCCAGGCTTCATGATTCTGCAAGACAGAATAGAGAGTTAACTTGAGAGGTTTTTTTTGCTGCTAGTCACATCAAAATGCCATAAAAGCAGACAGATCCTTTCACACTCTGTTTCCCTAAAGGGCCATGGAAAGAAATCTCAGTCTAGACCTTCATCCAGCCAAAAACTCCTGCACCCATGCTCAGCTTCCTTCACTGTTATCTCTGTATAATCAGAGCAAATAATTCCCAGTGTACAAAATTGCCAATATATTCAAGGCTTCGCAAAATCCCAGCCCCCCAGACCTGAGCTGTGCAAAGTCACAGGATTATTCATAATTTCACCAGCCTGATTCAGCAGAAGGAACGTGGGATCATTTCAAGTCACATATAAAGCTGTTTATGGGTGTTGGGAAAAGCTGCGTCCCCTGAACAAAATATAGCTTTCTCTCAGCTTCATTCCTGGGTTTAAGGAGAATTAAACCATTCTAGAACTTGCTGGGAAAAGGGGAACAGGGGGATAGAGAAGGACAATTTATCTCTAAATTACATTGCTCTTCAGAGTAAACCACAGAGAGCTGTAATGGGACAAGTAATTTTTTTACCTAGTATAATTAATTAGAACCCATAAAACCCAATTAAACAGCACTTTTGAGACTATCAAGTGGTGCATGTTTGAAACTGCAAATATGACAGTATAAGTACGTTTTTATAGCTGGGCACACTCCTCAGGATTATTTTCAGTGCTCTACTAAAATGGGAAATGGCACCAGTTTGGCCCCTGATAATAAATCGCTTGGAAAGAGGAGATATTAATAATCTTTATGGGGGTAGGATGGGAGCCAGATGGGGCAGGGAGGGGAGTGTGAAAGTGGCATAATATATTGGCCTGGAAAACATAATCCAGGCCAAAGCAGAAATGGAATCTTGGTGTGTATCCGAGCGGGCTGGGAATATAAAAGGAGAGGTGGTGGCTGAAAGGGGACTCGCCCTGGGAGATGAGGAGGATGAGTTCCAAGGTAAGGAAGGGAACATCCTGCCAGGTAAGCACAGAATGGGAGCAAAGGACAGAGATGCTCCAGCAGATTTCATGGCAAGGAGAGGGAAACGTAACTGGGAAAAGGTGCTGGGAGCTCCTGTCCCTGCCCCGCTGCCCTGGGAGGGGGCTGTGTGTGTGTGCCATGGGTGTGATGGGCTCGACACACGATCCAGTGTGAGGAAAAGCTCACTTGGCCCTTGTTTATTGACCTTGGCAGCCGGGGCCCTTTGCCGTGTGCCAGGCGCTCATTCCCTGCCCCTGGAGCACCAACAGTCATTAGCACCAGGTCCATTCCAGTCTCACGTTTCCAGCAGTGACCCGTGGCCACCAGAGCCTCCACAGACACTTCATCATGCCCTGTCAGCAGCTCCCAGCCCGGGCACTGCCAGAGCCCAGCGAGGGCTCAGGAGAAGCCTCTGCCTCGGGAGCCGCTCCCTGTGCCCACGGAGAGCAGGGACACCCCACGGAGGCCTTCCTGCTCCTGGAATTATGAGTTTGTTTGGGTTTGGAGTATCTTATCCTTCAGAAAATAGCAATGCACTGTGATAAAATATATATACATATATGCAATGAACCACCCCGTGCTGGCTGAGCCCTGTGACAGAAGCAGACGATTAAATTCTGACAGTCCCACTCAGCTGTACAACGCTCCCCGTGCCGGCTGCTCCCAACAAGGGGTACCTCGATCTTATCAGTCACTCAGAAAATTCCTTCAGAGTCACCTATTAACACAGGAAGAATATTTGATCTAGAAATGCAGGAAAATATACTTTCAAAATAGATTTGGGAGGAGAAATGGAGCAAACAGCTGGTCTGGACAGAAAGTGTTGCAGCGAAGACTCCCAACATCCGCAGGGAGATCCAGGGAGGACTCAAGAGCATCAAGGAGATAAGAGCTTTCTGCAGAAATGCTTTGTGCTCTATGTTATGCTCTCTGAAGAGCTGCAGAGTGCTGTCACATTCTTTATATACATGGGGAGGCTATTCATCTCTTAGTTTTTAAGAATCCATTTACTAAACTAGAGAATCTTATAAATATTTGCATTTCATAAGTCTTATGCCATTTCACCTGCACTGAGGCCTTAAGCTTTCTCAACTACATAAATTATTTTAAGATCTGTCTCCTTAGTATATCTAAATACTGTCATTTTAGTTTGATAGAGACATTTCTTTCTCTTTGCTCTGTGTGTAATTTTCTCAGTTTAGGAACTACATCTTTAAGGTCGATTCCAACAGAAGCCTTTCTATGATTCTGTGAAAATGGGTAAAATTCTGAGGCTTTTGAAATCAATAACAAATCTCTCAAACTTTATTTGTGCCAAGATTTTGAGTTTAACATATTTAAGTAAATTCCTACATTTGTTTCTAAATGAGAGATCTGTAGCTCTTGAAGTGGCTTCTTGGGATGTGTTAATTTTGATAGGAAAATGAAAGGTGCTAATTTGTCCCTGTCGCCATATAATATTAAACAGTTAAATGTGGTCTGATTTTGGAAACAGTACATGGCAGACATCCTTAAAAAAATCATTCAAAAGGTACTGAAAGAATAATCTTTTCCAAATCTGTCAACAAGATTCTAGCCACTGTTCCTGGCACGAAATGTAGCTTAATTTGGTAAAACAATCACTTTTGCTCTTGCAAACGTAAAACAAATGGGGTCACGGAAAGAAAAGTGGAACATTAAAAAGACCCTTGATAAATCCTCGGGAGTGTGCTGCTGTGTTACTGTGGGGCATTTCCAAGGTTTTAAAAGTACAAGTAGATGTGGAGGCAGGAGGGAGCCCAGGCTGCAGGGGCTGCAAATCCAATTCCGAGCGTGGTTTTGCTGGGAATGCTTTTCCAGGTCTCACACCATTACATAGGATGTAGCATCATAATGATGTCAACCCTTGGCCCAAAGAACAAGCTGATTTAAGTTTTATGAGGGGAAGGATGAATCCTTCCAAAGGAATGGTGAGTGGGATAACACAGCTCAGGGAACTCACAGTTACACTTTGAACTATTTTTAGCAAGGTCCTGCAAGTTCAGGGATGGTTAGGAAAGGCCTGCACAGCTCAAGTGAAGCACAGCCTCTCCAAGCATTGACAATTTGCTCCCAGTTCTGCAGAGAGGGAATCAGACCCTCTCTTCCCTTTTGCTGAAGGTGACTGTGCAGCAAGGCTGCTCTGGGGCTGTGAAGGAGCATCAGAGTTTGTGCAAGGAGCCTTCCCTCCCTGTCCCCACCCCGGCACAAAGGACAAACACTCAGCTCACACTGGAACCAGCACATGCCCCTCTCTGCTCTCTCCAGGCTGCACCAGGGCACAGGGAAGGGAGGGGGCAGCAGCAGGACCCAGGTACTCATTGATGTGACTTCAGATTTTCAATCTGTAGGGAAACACAACCCCCCAAAGATCAGATACAAAGGAAACACAGGGGTGTGGGTTTTCCATCAAAGCTGCTGCTGCTCCTGCAGTGAGAGCACGTGAAAGACCTTCCCCCAGCTCCCTTTGGAAAGCCACTGCAGATGACTTCTGCCAGCTCCTGTTATGTTTTCCCCTTCTTCAGACACATACTTAAGAATATCCAGTTATTGCAGACCACCAGGAGCACACAAGGAATGGGTTGCTTTATAAGCTTTACTACAATTATGGATAATGTTGGAAATATATACTGTATATTTCCTGTATGGTGGGACTGCTACAAGCACAGAAAATCCACATTGAGGGGGATTTCTATGCAAGCTATGCAGCAGATAAAGATTGGATTGCAAGCTTGAATTACTGATTCAAGCTGCTGCTTTGCCTCTCCCCACCCACTTCCTTAATAGCTTTTAAACTTAAATAGCCATATAAGTTAAAATGTTCTTTTATAGGGTGAAATAAACAGATTTTATGGTTCAGAAACTGCAAGTTTAGAGATCAACACTTTACCACTAATTCATGCAGGTTCAAGCTAAGGAAATGGCTCATTTTCTTCTCTACAGTTGTTGAGATTTTTTTCCCCCAAAAAAATTCAAGATGCACTTTAAATTAGATGTTATGAAAACTCTGGATGCAGACAAGACTTTCTCTCAACAAAGTACATCTAACTTGCTGCATTTCAGGTCCCAAATTCCATGAAATCAGAAGGAAATTACTGCTGAAAACCTCAGGTTGGGCAGAAATTGGTACAAAACATCAGAATTTACTGTTCATGTTTTGATATGGCATTGAAAATAAACAAACAAAGAAAGAACCAACAAACCCCAACAAACTCACAAGAAAGGTTTCATATGCCACTCTGGAAAGCTCTGTAAAGAGCATTTAGCCCCAGCCTTGCCCAGTACAATCCTCTCCAGTGGAATAGTGGGAAATGCCAGTTCCAGCTGTCCCAGAGAACCTGAGGAGAAGCTGTACTGACAGGCTCCATACCTTAAACAACACAGTTCCATTACAGGAATTATCCATCAGATATTTTAGGGAGCCAGGGGGATAACCATGGCCCAGAGGTCCTTGCAGAAATAATGGGAGGGTACAAAACCCCAGGAAGATACAGCTTGGAAAGCACAGAAAGATATTTTCAAACCAAGGAAGGGCAAGAACTGATCCTACAGAGCAGTGGGAGACTCTGCCCTAAGTGCTCTAAAGAAAAATTGCATTGCCCTGATTGTTTTATCAGAAAAATCCCAGTGTGTTTCATTTATCCATCTATCTGTTCATTCAACCCTCACCACTATGATTCTTGAAGATCCGATACATCCAGTAACAGCAGAGGAGTATTTTTCTTCCTGTTATTATTCCAGCTACATTAACCAGCATTTAAATGGTTAAAATGGAGGTTTTGTTTCCAAGCAAAGCTAATCCTGTTCCTGAGGACACCAGTAATGGTGGTATATGACAACATAATCAGCAGCACAAGGATATAAACAACTCCCAATTATCCCAAACCAAAATTTTTGAACATCTTGTTACATTTTTTCCTTAGGCCTTAAAATTACCAAGTTGTTATGGTTGGATGCTTTGT